GAAAGAATACTGTGGAATCCGGGAGAACCATCTGGAGTATGTAATATTCATGACAATTTCACATGAGTTTGTACGAACTTTGCTCCTTGGTCTCCCAGCCTATCTGTACTTTACATGACAACCACGGAATGATGCTACATCCTTTCAAACAATTTTTCCCACAACGGAAAACATTTCACTCGCGCTTAAACATAGGGTTGCTCTTCCAAAAGGTAATTTGGATATCCTGTCCAGAAGGAAAGTAATTCAGCAGCAACTTCGACACTGCGACCAAATCAAATTTTCCGCACCTCGTCCCAAACAGCCTTGAAGCTTGGCTGAGCCTTAAGGTCTTCAAAATACTTGCTGAGGCGAGCGAATTTCTCGCCGCACAGAATCTCAAGAGTCTTCTTGCCATCGCCGGCAGGATACACACCCAAATTGTTCTTGAGCAACAAAAATATACAGGCCAGAAAAGGTGTGATGGTTATGTTGGCGATGTTCCACTTCTCCCCGACAGCAAAGCCAGTGGCCGGGAGCTGCTTCTGGAGTGCGTCTAGACCGTCAATGAGCTTGGTGGCAGGCTCACGCATGAAGAAGTATCCCTTGAAGCCCTCAAAAAATTGGCCGTCGATGACAGTGATAAAGAGGCGAGCTTTAGCACGGAGGACAGGGTCCTTGGGCAGCAGACCGGAATCTGGGAAGAGGTCGGCGAGGAACTCCAAGATGACACCAGACTCTCTGAGCTTGGTGGACTCTTGGGAGGGCTGCTCTGGATCGACTTTGGGGCCACCATAGGTAATGGCAGAGATCTGAAGCATTGAATTCCAGTTTATGACAATGGCTCAATGATGGCGAATGGCAACTGACCTTGCCAACCGGGTTGACCTCCTTAGTGTAAAACACAGGCTTGTTCATCAAGTCGATAGAGTGGAAGGTGTACGCAGCATTTGCCTCCTCAAGGGCAATGTGGACCCTTTGGCCATAAGGAGAGTACTGGACATAAAATTGTGTCAGATGTGTCGTGGGTGTAGCCCTGGCCTTCTATTATTTTTCCATTTTCCTTGATTTTCTACAATTTATCCCACGTTTGTACGACCCTCCAAACATCGTCGGCGTGTTAGCGCCAGTTTACAAGTCCTAACCGCATGCCAATACCTTGAGAACGCATCACCGACAGGCACACATCAGCGCATCAAACATGCCTGCATCACTGCCACCCCGTTACCACATCATGCTTCCTCAGTAACAGCCGCACTCCAATCTCCACCGGACATCTGATCCCTGTCAGCCCAGTAGCGTCATATGATATGACACTCCAGCTCCTGTCCATCCCCGAGTCCGATTGGCAATGAACATCCGACTCCTGTCGGCCTGGCAAACGTCATACAACATGACACACCGGCCCTCGCTTCTCTGTCAGAGTCCTCTGAACACTAGCAGCAGCCGTAGCACAGTCGCTTATGTAATGCCTGGTCTGTGCGCAGCCTGCCTAGTATATAAGGACTGCCGTTGTCGCTACCTAGCCTCCATCTCAACCTCTTGGTTATTGGGCTAGCTGAACAAGCTAACGCATTCGTTGCCAGACCGCCGTTGGTGCCGCCTTTTGCTTAGATCCACACAGTATCCCTCATGTTGTGTCGATGCAAGTCCACAACATTAGGTTGAGATCTTCGTGCACCTGAACTTTACCTCTCTATCCAGTGCCCCGTGCACAGTTTTAAAAAAGTTTATTCTTACCGTTTGAAGAGTAAGTCTCTTCGGCGATTGGTGGCAGACATACGCACACAGCGCTAATCACTGCATAAAACCAGTGCCGAAGGATTTGCCTGATCGCCCTCACGCTTTCAAACGCCTCGCAGATGAGCGTCACCCCCACCTCTGCCGCACGCTGCCTGAAGCTGTTTTTAACCAACTCTATCGAGAACGCGAAGCAGGTGCCCCACACCAATACACTACCACCAAGCTTCGTGCTGTCGTCCGGCACGTCTCCACACTTCCGCCTTTGTCCACCGCACTCCCGACTATCGACTGGGACACAGTCGAGCAGGCCAAACTCGCGGCACACAACGACCGCCAGCACTTTCAGGTGCAACGCAATCAAGCTCACGCTAGGCAGAACGTGCACGCCAGCGGTTTCTTCAGCCACCCTCTAGCGGATCGCCTCACCACCGCCCCAACCTACACGCCCATTGCCCCAAAACCAGTCACCATCGACTTCGCTTGGTACTCAGCCGCCGACCTCACTTGCATCTTCACGCCGAAGTTTGCCGCCACCCTCAAATGTTTCAACGTCCTCGAAACGCTCAACTGCCCCGACGTCCTCACTGACAACATCAACACTGTCTTCAAACTCCATGACCACCTCGCTCACCTTGATCACACGCTCAAGAACGTGTCCCACATTGTCAGCATCGAAGAGTGGAATTGCTGGGACTCAGGATGAAACAAATCGGTGGGATCTCGTTCAAAGGACTGCAGCAAAACTGAGTCCAGGTTTTTAAAGCACTTTGTGCAGTTTGGAACAATGGATACTTTGACTAGAATAGTAGAGCTGGACGAATACATAGTTTTTGAATACATAGACTATGACGAGGAAGGAATTGTCGATCTGTACATACTAGATTACGCGCTCGACCACCTCGTTAAGATAGAAATAGTACAATTATTCGAGGAACTCCCCTTCCACTCTCTATAAATCCATTTTTGGTCCTCCAGAATGAATCAGACATAGTGGCAGACACCAGTCTAGTTTGCACAGCGTTAGCACACGTCTACAACTTTCAAGATGCGTGTGACTACCACATCACTGATGATCGTGAATTAAACACTTGCACCAACTACCTCTGCCCTAATTGATACTACAAACATCCTACGCAACCCGTCCTCACCAAAGATGCACCTTATCTGTTCACCGACAGAGATCAAGAGCAGGAAATCCGAAGCCGATATAATCTCATGGACAACAGCAAACTCACCCTTGACAACTTTAGCTCGGTAGCTATGGATAGACCAGCCAACCTCCCGGCACCACAGACCTCTATGCAGGATCTAATAAATCTCATGGCCATGCTTGTCCGGAACATTAACAGCCTCACGACCACCGTGAACCAGTTTATAGCAAATGCGTGTCAGACGACCGCATCAGTTTCTTCCACCCAGTCGCGGTCTTTTGTCGAGAAGCCCTCTACCTTCGACGGCAAGTCGTCAGAAAAAGCCAGGCTCTTCCGCAGCACTTTTCGTGTGTACATCTGCGCAAACAAAGAAATATTTGCAATGCAGGACACCAATGACGCAATCATCCTCGATGCTAACGGTAACTGGATAATGGACCCTGTCAAAATGATCACGGGCGTCCTTTCCTTCATGACAGATGACACAGCGGTTTGGGCTCACCCTCACATTGAGGAGCTTTCAGATGATCGCATCTCGTTCAACAGACAGAATTCGTCAGACAGTTCTTGGCCAAGTTCGAACCCGTGGATGCAAAAAACGAGGCCAAGCAGAAGCTCATGTTGATCAAACAGGACAACAGGACATTCACAGACTACCTCTCCAACTTCGAAACCTACTCTCGGCGCACCGGGTGGTCAGACAACGATCTTTATGACTGTCTCAAGTCTGGCATGAACTTCGACTACCTTAACAGGTTGTCCTACTTCACTCCCCTAGCCACGAACTACAACATGGTAAAGAACTATGGAGCAACGATCGACCTGCAGAAAGCAAACTTGGCAGCCAATCAAGGCAAACCAGTCTCGTAACCTCAGCCATCAGCAATGCACTCCACCAGCTTCCACGATCCCAACGCCATGGACATTGACACTATGGACATATCCGCCGCTCGCTTTGATGATCTCTTCCAGGGACTCAAAGATCCCACAGAGATCAAACGTCAGTATAACAAACTGATGATAGGTCGCTGCCGCGTCTGCAGTTCCAAAGGTCACAAAGCAGATGGTGCGCACGAGGACACCAAGTGCCAACACTGCGGCAAACCCGGTCACTGGAAGAAGCTCTGCCTATCACGATTGGCCGGGCAACCAGCAAAGTCACAATCGGTCAAAGCCACATCGTTGGGAAGCCCCTCATCGTCTGTTTCTGTTTCTGCCTCTCAAGACTCTGCTGCCGACGTAGCTAGTCTCAAAGACATGATGGTCCTAATGCAAAAACAACAAGCCGAGCTGATGGCAAAGATCAGCCAGGGTTTTTAGCAAGGGCCCAGACTAGAGCTGCAGCTCTGGAGCCCGGTTTAGACAAGCAGCCTTCAACAGTGCCGGCTCCTGTATATTCTGACTTGGATCCTTCGGACAACGTCTCGTCGTGTACTGTGTCGTCAATAGATCATCTCTCGTCCCACTTCTGCGTATTTGTAACATTGTCTGGAATGAATAAATCACTGCGTACACCTGCTATGATTGACTCCGGTGCTACCAGATATTTCCTACATGAGAAATTCGCACGAGAGAATAATATTTACAAACAACCTCTTAAACGACAGATCAGTCTCCGAAACATTGACAGATTGACCAACAGCGCTGGTGCTATCACACACTACGCTAAACTCAAAGTCAAAATTGGATTGCGAGCTTTCGAAGAGTATGACTTCTTCATAACAGACATAGGCCCCAAGAACATCATCCTTGGGTTGCCATGGCTAAAGAAAGTCAACTCCACCATAGACTGGAAAACAGGTGAAATAACACTTCCTGACAGCTCAGAAGCATTGCCCAGTTCTCCTGTGTCGCCAAGTTTAACTAAAGTTGAAGCTAATCGAGCTGAACGCCGGGCCTGGGTGAAGGCCGGTATACTTGATAACGCCACAGACGAAGTTTACTGCCTAGCAGGCTACACTTACTCTCAAAAGGTAGCTGTTGAGCAGAACAAAGAAAAGTACTCAAAAACCTTCGAGCAGCTTGTTCCAAAAGAATACCACTGGCATGCCCATGTCTTCTCTGAAACAGACTCAACAAGGCTTCCTGAACACAGAGCCTGGGATCATGCTATCGACCTCAAACCGGACGCCCCTTCAACCATCCGCTCCAAGGTCTACCCAATGAGCCTGGCCAAGAATCAGGAGTTACAAGCTTTCCTTGATGACACAATCAAGAAAGGCTACATCGTCCCTAGTAAATCGCCCATTGCTTCACCTGTCTTCTTTATAAAGAAAAAGGATGGCAAGCTCAGGCTTATCCAGAACTATCACAAGCTCAACGACATTACAATCCAGAACAGATACCCCCTGCCTCTTGCTAACGACATCATCAACAAGTTACAAGGCGCCAAGATCTTTTCTAAGTTCAACGTCTGTTGGGGCTATACTAATGTCTGGATCAAAGCTGGCAATGAATGGAAAGCCGCCTTTGTCACTAATTGAGGACTCTTCAAACCACTAGTCATGTACTTCGGGCTGACTAACACACCTGCTACCTTCCAGGCTCTCATGGATACAATCTTCGCAGATCTTATTGCCGAAGGAAAAGTCGCAGTATACCTGGACGATATTTTCATCTGGTCTTCAGACCTCACTTTGCACCATAAAATAGTACACGAAGTACTAGAGCGTCTTAAAGAATACGACCTCTACCTACATCCTGAAAAGTGCGAATTCGAGAAAGACCAAATCGAGTACCTCAGCCTCCTCATCAGCGAAAGATCGGTCAGCATGGACCCCGGCAAAGTCAAAGCGGTTACAGAATGGCCCACACCAGCAAACCTGAAAGATGTTAGAGGTTTCGTCGGGTTTGCCAACTTCTACCGCCGGTTTATTCAAGACTTCTTCAAAATTGCCCGCCCACTGCACAAACTCACAAAGAAAGATGTTCCTTTCATGTGGGGCTTTGCTCAGCAACAGGCTTTTGATACCTTGAAGTCCAAGTTTACCAGTGAACCAGTCCTCGCGCTATGACATGCAGACCAAAATACACGCATACAAGTCGATGCTTCTGGCTACGCTACTGGAGGCAAGATCAGCCAGCTAGACCCAAACGATACTTTGTGGCACCCGATTGCCTTCCGATCGCAGATAATGAACGTTGCAGAACACAACTACAAAATCTACGATCACAAACTCATGGCCATAATCGAAGCTCTCAGAGATTGGCGTCACTTCCTTGAAGGACTGCCTAAACCGTTCAAAATCTGGACTGACCACACTAATCTCCAATACTGGCGAACAGCACAGTGACTTACACGCCGACAAGCTTGATGGGCTCTTGAGCTAGCCAACTATGACTTCGTGCTCACTCACAAACCTGGCAAAACACATCTCATTGCAGACCCTCTCTCTCGCCCCATCTCTCAGTATATCTCTGACAACATGGATAACCAAATGCAAGTGGTACTGCCAGATGACAGGTTCGTGAGTGCCACACACAGCCAAGACCTCGGCCCGGCACACTTCGCACAACTAGCTGCTACAGCTTTCGTCACCAGTTCCCCTCTAGAGCAAGAAGTTCGCAATGTCACCTCTCTAGATGACGAGGTTTCCACTGTGCTCTCTAGCCTCAGAACAAAAGGGCCTTGCAAGCTAGTTAGCGGACTCACCGAATGGAAAGAAAATGAAGGTCTCATCTACTACAAGGGCAAACTCTACATACCAAACAACACCGCTCTTCGTAACAGAATCATTGAGTCCTGTCATGACACTCCTACGGCTGGACATCTGGGAAAGCACGGAACCATTGAGCTGGTCTCCTGCTATTACTGATGGCCAGGTATGAACTCTGCCATAGTGCGATACGTGGCTGGCTGCAATAAATGTCAGAGATACAAAGGCGCCAAACATCCTAAAACAACTCTTACCCCGCAAGAGGTTCCCAAAAAACCTTGGCAACACGTCGGAGTCGATATGGTTGGCCCCCTCCCTCAGACAAAATCTCCAGGGAAATACGACGCCGTCACCGTCTATGTCGACCACTATAGCGACCAAGTACACCTCGCGCCTTGCTGAACAACCCTCACAGCAGAGGGGGCATCTGAGATACACTTCCGCGAAGTATTCAGATATCACGGTCTCCCACGCAAAATCTTCTCTGATAGGGGACCGCAATATGCAGCCCATTTCATGCGAAGTTTATACAAATGACTTGGTATCGAGTTGGGTTTAACCACAGCCTATCATCCAGAAGGTAATGGCAAGGTCAAAAGAAAGAACGCCGAGGTATCCAAATTCCTCAGGCTATTCTGTTCGCAACGCCAAGATGACTGGGATGAATGGCTACCCATGGCCGAGTTTGTACTCAACTCACGAATACATGCTGGTAACGAGCACTCTTCTTTCAAAGTACTCTACGGATACAGGCCAGACTTCACTATCCCAGCTGGAAAGCACTCCAATATTCCCACACTAAACAATAGACTTGATTGCATGGTCAAAATCTGTAAAAAAGCAGAAGCAGCTCTCTGCCAGACTAAAGAAAAGATAAAGGCTGATTACGAAACTCGTAAAAACTCACCTCACTCTTTCAAAGTCGGAGACAAAGTCTGGCTATCTTCAAAAGACATCTCAATCCACCAGCAAACTCGTAAACTAGGACCCCGACAACTCAGACCATTTGCAGTTACCGAAGTCATCAGAGAATTAAACTATCGCCTCGAACTACCTACCTGGCTCAAGGTTCACCCAGTCTTCCATGTCGACAGGCTCAGCCCATATCACAACAATGGCATGAACAAACCTACACCTTCTCCGCCAGTGATAGTCAACAACGAGGAAGAATACGAAGTCGAAAAGATCCTGGACTCACGCATCTATCGCAGGCAGCTCCAGTATCTTATCAGATGGAAAGGATATGGACAAGGTGCCGACAAATGGATCCCTGCTAAAAACATCCACGCAAAAGACTGCATACGCAACTTCCACAGGCAGAACCCATCGGCACCACGACAGATCTCCACCACCTCCTTCAGCGAACTCCACAGTTGCTTCAAGCCTATCTACGAACACACCGACCCCAGCTCAACACTGGCCACTAATCCTACAGTGGCAGAATTTGAGTGGGAATTGGGCAGAATACAGGCTATATTTTCTTGCCAGGAGTCTCGATTGTAGGGGGGGTAATGTCATGGGCGTAGCTCTGGCCTCCTATTATTTTTTCCATTTTCCCCGATTTTCTACAATTTATCCCACGTTTGTATGACCCTCCAAACGTTGTCGGCACATTAGTGCCAGTTTACAAGTCCTAACCGCGTGCCAATACCTTGAGAACGCATCACCGACAGGCATGCATCAGTGCATCAAACACGCCTGCATCACTGCTGCTCCGTTACCACATCATGCTTCCTCAGTAACAGCCGCACTCCAATCTCCACTGGACATCTGATCCCTGTCAGCCCAGTAGCGTCATATGATATGACACTCCAGCCCCCGTCCATCCTCGAGTCCGATTGGCAATGGACATCCGACTCCTGTCGGCCTGGCAAACGTCATACAACATGACACACCGGCCCTCGCTTCTCTGTCAGAGTCCTCTGAACACTAGCAGCAGCCGTAGCACAGTCGCTTATGTAATGCCTGGTCTGTGCGCAGCTTGCCTAGTATATAAGGACTGCCGTTGTCGCTACCTAGCCTCCATCTCAACCTCTTGGTTATTGGGCTAGCTGAACAAGCTAACGCATTCGTTGCCAGACCGCTGTTGGCACCGCCTTTTGCTTAGATCCACGCTGTCATGCACCATAACTATAAGTATAGAAAAACTAAAGGAATAATAGGTATTCAAATCAAAAAGAAACTGCTTACTCAGAGCTGCAAAGTAAGCATAAA